TCTCTCTCTCTCTCTCTCTCTCTCTCTCTCTCTCTCTCTCTCTCTCTCTCTCTCTCTCTGTGTGTGTGTGTGTGTGTGTGTGTGTGTGTATGTATGTCAGTTCCAGGGTTAATTAAGGGCTGGTGGGAAAATGCAACTTAGCTTCTGTTTACTCTGATGTTAACAGCTCCATAGAGACTCTAGAATAACAAACTACTCACTTTGTGTGTGCATAACGGTGCATGCATGTGTGCACACTGTGTTGTGTTTATATGTATACTGACCTTTGTGACCTTTAATAACAAACCTCTCTGAGTGGCGTTCCCAGCCTTCCGTCTCAAGCTTGGCATTCCCAAGCTGCTGATGTCACCATGTGGAACATTGGGATAGTCTGAACACACACACACACACACACACACACACACACGCACACGCACACACATAAGTCTGTACTGCTGTACTTGTAAGGTCCTTAATTAGGAACACGTTCCCTGGCCCCAACCCTAACCTCATCCTTTAGTGTGCATCTTAGGACACAAATTGCAGCTTACAAACAGTGCATAAAATCCAGATGTGGAATCTGTTATAACAAAACGTTATGACTATACACTTCTGTTCCCTGAAGGAGAGCAACGAGGTACGACACATACTGTATGGGATTTCATGCCCTTGTGTGTCCTGGATGAAGACAGCTCAATAAACACCTTAACGCTGACAACTTGTAGTGATGTGAGTGCGGCCCCGCCTGTTGTGTTCAGTGACTGCTCTTCGTAGAGCTCAGCTGTGAAGTGGGGCAACATTGTGCTGTGCCTTGCTCCGCTCCTTCAGGGAATAGAAATTATAATTATAACATTTCATTCCCTTTCAGTCGATACACTCAGTACAACACATATTGTATGGGACATACAGTATATTCACACCCCACAGAGCAGTAACTGAACCCAAGGGCAACATTACTCCAACACTCTAGTGCACTGTGGACCCAGCAGAGAGGACAGAATGAGCCGCCCAGGGGAACTGTTGCATCCAGATGGTAAAACCGGACAAATTATGTGGTGAAGAGCAACTGGCAGCTGCACAAATATTAACCACAGAAACCCCTTTAAACAGATGCCCATGATGCTGCCACAGCCCTGGATGAGTGTTGGGAAACCTTTGCTGCTATAAGCCAGAGAGATAGCTTTCACAGTCTAATGGGAATGCCATTGCTGGCCAGCACTGTGCCCTTCATTGGGCTAGAAAAACAGACAAATGGCTGGTCACATGAATGCACACTCACAATGTGGTCTATCAAATCACAAGTTCAAACCTGCTGTTGTTTAGTGAGACCACACTTTATTTAAGATAATTCACATGAAATAATACTGCTGGACGGATCACGAGCGCAAACGCATAAGTACACACAGACACGCACACAGACGTTACATACCATATTGTCATTCCAACGACCGAATTTGTGTTGCCATTACAGTTGGGCGTCTCTGCAGTCAACATGGTAACTGCTGTATGACGACAGGCAACACACATGTACACACACCCAGAGTTCAGATCCATTCACTGAAAAGTCTGTGATGATTAAAAACTGTCTGAGCTCTACAATCTGTTTTCTGACCATGAACATTCATAAATCAACTTTAAAAGTCAGCAGTCCAAGTTGTCAGTTTGCTGTGTTTGGTTGCCAGTGTCTTTTGATCATCCCTAATTGCCATAGCATCGCTGCAGTGCACTCATTGGAGCGCCCAGTTAAATGTGCAGCTTAACTTAGTAAGTTCTCTGTATATAAAAAACCCCCCCCACAAATGAATCACTTCTTGTGCTCTGTCTGATTAAAGACCAGACTGATGCTCATTGTGTTTCACTGTTTCTCTCTCTCCAGACCCCTACGCCATTGTGTCATTCCTCCATCAGTCCCAGAGGACGGTGACGGCGCGTAACACTCTGAATCCCACCTGGGACCAGACACTTATCTTCTACGAGTTGGAGATTTTTGGTGACCCAGAGGTCGTGATGTCCAGTCCTCCTAAAGTGTTGGTGGAGCTTTATGATCAGGATACATATGTGAGTGTTTGATAGCTTCTAACTTTGTTGGCAAACAAATACATAATTGTTAAATGCTTTTCTTTTGTGTGTAAATATATGTGTGCATTTTAACTGTCCAGGGTGCAGATGAGTTCATGGGGCGCTGCGTGTGCCAACCCACCTTGACCCCCTCCCCCCGTTTGGCCTGGTTCCCCATTCTGCGAGGGAACAAGAACGCCGGCGAGCTACTGGCTGCCTTTGAGCTCATACGTAGAGAAAAGGTCAGAGGTTTCTCTAATCCGGTTCTTATGTTCTTCTGATATCTTTGTTGTCCTTCTCTTCATATTTAAATTTTGTAAAAATCCACGTTGTGTCTAAAGGTTTGGGAATATAAATTCTTAATCTGTGCATTTAAATTTGTGAGGATGAGCTTTGACAAAATAAGTGAACATGTGAATGAGGATTTATTTAATACATTTTACTTAAATGGAGATGCACTGACCCTAACTCAGTTCAGCAACTTAAAATATAATAATTTATCATTTCAGTAATTTAATAACAAAACTCTGCCTTCATTTTGTGTCTATAGCCGGCAATTCACCATATCCCAGGTCAAGAGGTAAGTTTAATGCATCTGTTTAATTTGTTTTCTTTTCTATTCTTTTTCTTGAATATTTCTTTGTTTCCATTTTTTGTACATTTTTTGCCTTTAAAATCTAACTTTCTGTCTCACCTACAGGGAGACATCATGACCTCCACCCACGTTCTAGATGAGGTAAAACACACGTCACACCTTTTATAATAAAAACACTTAAAATGACTTTAATGAGGATAAAAATACAATTGTATCCATCAGAACCATGGGTGGAAGAGTCTGACACCCGAGGCAGCTAGAGGCCCTCTGTTTTACCCATTTTGTATTTACTTATTAGAAAAGTTTGATATTACAGCAGGTTTGTGATGTTTGTTTATCGTTTTTGTCTTTTTCTGTGTTTTGCTTCCTCAGTTGATGTTTCCAGGATTCCTCTCTGAAAACCTGCAGAAATGGGTACAACATAGAAACATGCACACTATAACATTGTACTTCTACCCATCCAGTTTCATTTCTGACTGTCCATTTACTGTACAACACACACACATCTTTATCATATGTACACGTTAGAGATTGGCCTTCATATAATAATCATTTCTTCTGCCTATTCATTTGGTTCATCTTTAACTCCCCATCTCTTTTATTTGCATAATCCATAATCCAGACAGCAGCTTTTTTTGTTACATATTTTCATAGAGTATAGAGTATTTATATTACTTTGAAAAAGCAGCAGAATTAACAGCATGGGTCATTGTCATGTGTTTTTTTTTTTTTTTGGGGGGGTCTCTCTTTGATGTCATATGATCCTGTTGCCAGCCAGAGGAGTCGGACCTTCCATACCCACCACCTCAGAGAGAGCCCAACGTCTTCATGATTCCTCAGGGAATCAAACCTGTTCTGCAGAGAACTGCCATTGAGGTATCGTTTGTTGAACATAACAAGAAATCTAAACATGCCGCATTGGGCTTTAGGAAATTGTGAAGGCCATTTTACCACATTAAGTCAAAAATAACTAATCAGTAACTCCTCTTTGTGCCTGCTTTCAGATATTAGCTTGGGGAGTTCGTAACCTGAAGAGTTTCCAGCTGGCCAGTGTTACCTCCCCAAGCCTGCAGGTGGAATGTGGAGGCGCCATGGTCCAAAGCTGTGTCATCCGAGGCGTGAAGAAGAAGCCCAACTTTGACATCAATACGCTCATCCTTGACGTGGTGAGAACACCAAGATAAAATGTAGTGTACATGTACACGCATTATGCAAATGTAATCAGTGCAGAGCTCCACTGTCTTCATGGCTAATGAGAGTTCTGCTGTGATGTGGTTTGCATCAGCCGTTTATTTTCATCAGTTAAGCCACGATAAAAGCAATGGGGAAAAATCCACAGGACTCTCCCATTTCTTAAAAAAAAGAAGATATAGAAGTGGTCATTCTGAATGTGAATGTTGGCAGGCTGCAGATGCTGATTTTAGAGAAGCAAGAGAATATTTCTGCAGTTGTAAAGACAGTTGTAAAGATGTTTTGTCCTATGACTACCAGTGTTTACATACAGTAACTGATGCAAAATAAAGACATTATGTAAACTGGCTGTTACTGTAGAAAGAGGTCATAAGCTCAGCTTAATATGACGTCTAATGAGCTAGACAACTTGAATGCATGTCTCCAAACTCTGGGACATACTATTGAACTCGAAATGACTATGGAATATGACAGGTAGATTTGGTGACTAAAAGTAATCAGCTTTATGACCAAGTCTGTACAATACTATAGTAGCTTCATATGATATTTTTTACCCAGGTCAGCTCTCTGATATATTATTTGATATTGCCGGGTGACAGAAATGTGAGCGTACCGTCTTCTCCAACGTTCACTTAAAGAGTCTCTCATCAATAACTTTACATTAACAGTGGATTGACTCTCCACATACAGTGTTAAAGGTTTTGCTTATAATGATGAACTCACAGAAAATCATCATCTGACTCAAACCCACCTTGGAAAAAAATTTGCTTTTGCGCCCTCACAGTGGGAATTCAGTGAAACACTAGGTACTGTGTAATTTGCAATAATGCAGGGCCTGTCTTAGCTGATACTTTAGTGATTCAAATTCCTAAACAATTTAAAATACAAAATCCCAAATGACACTGGTTAATTTGTGGGTTTTGGGTCGTTTTGGGATCTTTGATTCCTAGGCAGCAGTTGGTAATGCAGTCTTGACTTGCAGTTCCTCTGAGTTCAAGAGACCACTTCAGTGTTTTTCAGCCCATTGTGTTGGCTGTGTTTTTCACATTCAGGAAGTTCAGAAAGTTGAGACGAGCCACTTTCTTGACCACAGTTGTGATGTTCTCTTTGTCATCCATCCATCCATCCATTTTCCTCCACTTATCCGGGACTGGGTCGTGGGGGCAGCAGTCTAAGCAAAGATGCCCAGACTTCCCTCTCCCCAGACACTTCCTCCAGCTCCTCCGGGGGAATGCCAAGGCGTTCCCAGGCCAGCTGAGAGACATAGTCCCTCCAGCGTGTCCTGGGTCTTCCCCGGGGCCTCCTC